CTATCCTGATCATCAATAAATGCATTAGAGTGGATTAACTCTCAAAGCCTAAATTTTATTGTTGTATAATTAAACATCAAAACATTTAGCCCCAATACATACCACGCAATGCTCCGAGGATCATGGGTTAAATACAGCTTCTGTACTGGCATCACACACACACACACACACACACACACACACACACACACACACACACACACACACACACACACACACACACACACACACACACACACACACACAGCACTCATGGATCCTAGTATTAAGGGCCCCGGTTTGATTCCCGGCCGAGGCAGAGACAAATGTGCAGAATGTCTTTCCTCTGATGTGCCTGTTCATCTAGCGGTAAATAGGTACCCGGGAGTTAGACAGCTTTTATTTGAGCTGCATTCTGGGGGATGTTTGAGTGTGTGTTATATATAAATATATGTAGCAGATATGATGAGGAAAAGAGGCCGGGAGTTAGCACATTAGACAACCGACGGTTAGAGAGGCGGGGTCCAAGAACTAAGTGCTCGATCCATCAGGCTCAAATAGTAAATACACAAAGACAAACTCAAACACATATACATAAACATACAAAAACACACACAAGCAAAGAGTAGCTGGATTTAACTTATATTCAAAACAAATACAGTTCCTCAAGTTGACCACCGCAAAACAAAGCCAAACTAAATTCTAACCATACATGAAAGCTGCTCAACTTCACGAGAAGCGGGAATTTTCCTCGTTTTCTCCCCAATTCTTTGATTACCTCGGGCATTCGGGTATTAACGTCGTGGTTCAAACTGCCCTTATTGCTCCAGTCTCTGTGAATGAAGGTATAATTATGTATTATTTAGACCTTTAACAAGAGTCAAATATGTTAATTCCAATTGCTAAGCTCTGCGCTAACGACTTGGCAAATAGTCCGAACGGAAAAGTCATTGATACAAAACGTTCTATACAAGGCTTTCATGATAATTCTAACAGGACTGTGTCGGTCACAGGGTTCAGGTTATACTAATGACGACCGTCTGCAACTCCTAATGAGTTGGGTCTCATGTTTAAACTTATTTCTCTGGATTATTTGTAAGAGGTTAGAATTAGGACACATATGCTTGATGCAGATGAGTCACAATAACGTGGCTGAAGTATGCTGGCCAGACCACACACTAGAAAGTGAAGGGACGACGACGTTTCGTCGTCGGTCCTTAGACCATTCACAATCGACTTGAGAATGGTCCAGGACGGACCGAAACGTCGTCGTCCCTTCACTTTCTAGTGTGTGGTCTGGTCAACATATGCTTGATTCTATCCAGATTTCTGCATAGCAAAAAAGTGAAACTCTAAGCTATTTTGACTATATAGCTTTTGGAAGGGTTACGAGGCCATGGAACGAGCAATATAATAATAGAGTGGTGGAATGATTTCTAGGCACGAGGATCATAGCATCTCGACAGCTAACCTATAAAGAAACAATACCTTCGTTGTACAGACCAATCGAAGAATTTTTTTTTACAATATACATTATCATTGCATCAAGGTATATTAAACCTTTATGTTTATATGATGCACGTTTCGCTAACTCGATATTATTATTCCCCAAATGCGAAAATTGATAATGATATAAACGCGCCCCCGGTTGCATTGGTGATCATAAATAACGTAGTTTAATTAATATAAACTCTACAGTAATTTTATTTAACTCTGTTGAACAAACATATTATATATATATATATATATATATATATATATATATATATATATATATATATATATATATATATATATATATATATATATATATATATATATATTGTACCTAGTAGCCAGAACGTCGTACTCGGCCTACCATGCAAGGTCCGATTTCCCTAATAAGCCAAGTTTTCCTGAATTTATATATTTTCCCTATTTTTTTCTTATGAAGTGATATATCTGTCCATTTCATTATTTACAGGTTAATTTTTTGAAATTTGAGTTAAAACTTACGTAGATATATGACCGAACCTAACCAACCCTACCTAACCTAACCTAACCAATCTAAACCTAACCTAAACTGACACAACTAAGTCAATAATTTATGTTCCTAATATAATATAATAATTATAATTCAAATAAACTAATTGGAAACAATTTATTGTAAAAAAAGAAAATCACCCTGACTATTTGACAAATCGGGCCTTGCATATTAGGTCAAGAGGTGCGTTATGGCTACTAGGTACGACATATAAATATATATATATATATATATATATATATATATATATATATATATATATATATATATATATATATATATATATATATATATATACATGCCTATCAGATTTGAAAATAGTTTGAATATGTTTTGTAAGAAGCAATTAGCTGAAGAGCCACTGTGAATTAGAAGAGTTAAGATCAGAGAGCAAAAACACTCATCACACCATCTAGTGAGCACAATATACAACGTCAGAATAGTGATCACCCATTCAGAGAGTGTAATTCATAATGTCAGATAACTGGACAGCTTTTATGAAAGGATTATTGTCAATTTTGCGTCAGCAACAGTCTGACTGGTTGTGTAAACAGCAAAGCAGTAAAACGGAATATTTCTAACAAAGAGTTTCATTGTTAGTGAACTTGCAAACTAGTGCGCGTGTGCATGTCTGGCAATTAGTTAATGGGTAGACTAAAATTCTCGCGTGGATTTGTTTACAAAGAAATATTTACTTCTCTGTGACAACATGGAAGTGTCCCGCTTGTTAGCTATTTGCATCTGTCACACATTTTCTTAAATCACTTGATGTTCAAGTTATTTTATGTGTCTTTTCTTGTAGTTCTGAATGTAAGCTGGTTTCACGATCACTTCATTCAGAGCATTCCACTTGGTAATGACCCTTACAGGATACGAACATTGTCTTCAATTTCAACAATTCAATTGCGTTTCCAGTTGAATCGTTGATGACTCCTATAACGCCTGTTAAATTTTATTTCAGTTTATATAAGCATTCATTGTTGATTTTTTTTTTCATACACTTTATTAAGTGTATCACATAATCAATATTTATAGTCGTTGATAGCATCTTTTGTTAAAATTTTAAATGCCATTTTTATGTTCGCTAGCTTTCCTTTATATTGCAGATACCTTCACTCATCTTATTTTTTTTTAGCAATAAATTACATTTTTGGGATTGAACTAACAGTCAATTGTCTGCCCACTTTTGGATTATGTCAAATTTTCTTGTAACACTCTATATTAACACTTATTAACACTATATTACCATATTACCATATTATATTACTATTAATATTACCATATTATATTACTGTTAATATTACCATATTATATTACTGTTAATATTACCATATTACCATAATATTACCAATAATATTACTATATTACTATATTATATTATATATTATATTATAACACTATATTAACACTAACTATTAACACTAATAACACTTCAGTCTGACTGTCCTCATTACCTTTGCGCCATCTGCAAACATTGACGTGAAAGATATCATTCCCTCAAGTAGGTCAACTGACAATTTCTAGCTCCCTCGGTCACATATTTTTTTAACTTTGGGAATATACCAGCCTGCATGTCTCTACCTCACTTACTCTGAACTGGAGAGCTGTATGGCGCCCCAAACATGCACGTGCTCCTGAAGGCATGCGTCAGAGTTAGATTTCGAGATGAGCTTAGTTAAGGCCCTGATCTGGATGTACTCCATTTACAGAGCATAGCCTTGGGATATGTTCAGAGAACAACCAACTTAACTCCTCATGGAACCATTTTCATGAGTGCAAGACGTAGGTGGATATACTCAGGCGTAGCCAGACAGCAGTCTACCTAAGTCGGATGACGCTAGATATTGGATACCAATTCCGCTATGATATTCGATGGTGCGTGGACGACTTGGTTGAGGATTAAGAGCGTGAACGACCGGCAGAGGGACCTCATGCATACATGAGAGCTTCCTATGCTCTTGGGACCAGGCGAGGAGCATGTATTTTATATATTTATCCATGTATGATAATATAAATTCAACCATATCATGCGAAGTATATTTCTTGCTTTCTCAGTATTGTATTACTTTTTCATAACTTCAAGTTTTCCCTTCTACACAATTAAAATGACTTATGTTCTTCTGTCTAAAGTGGGAGACCAAGAGGAATGATCTGAGGTATGGGATGGACATAGGCTGGTAACATAGGTAACAGATATAGGTAACAAAACTGATACCAAACTCTACCCAGGTAAAAATACGGAATTACCGAATATAACCCGTGCTGCTCTTAATTAAATTATTGTTGCAAAGATTGAATTGTTATCTAATATTTCTTAGAATAGCTTCATGAGCATAATAAGCATTATCAAACTATGCATCGTAGATTTAAGATTAGTTATGTCGTCAGTGTTCATGTATGTATTAATGTCAATAAAGTTTAACAAAAAATGATATATCTTCGTTGTATTTTTTCACATATTATCACGTTGAAGTGGTCATTACTGTTATTGTCCTATAATAAAGAATTATATTTATTGCCAGAAGTTTATTACAGAATATCCTCTAAACGAGTATTGGATATGAATGTTTTAATTGTAGATGTGTAGTTAATTATTAATTAAGTTATCGACTCATTGAGGAATATAACAACTTTTTGGGGTACTCAGCAATACCCGGGTCGGCTGCAGCTTGGACGAACATAACTTAAGAACAGAGTTTATGTGTAACGTTTATCATTCACAAGCAAATGGTTTGGATTACTAGATTAACGAGCATTTGGCCATTGTCTTCGTGGACTGATTGTACACATAACTTGCATCGTTTCTCGAACCGTGCTTTCTTTGTTTTCTATGTTATTCGCATGCATTCTATGTTCGAATAGCACTGCCCCAAATGTTTCAGCCACTTATTTCGTAAGATAAATCTCAGAAGGTGACATATGTAGAATATCCAATATTTAGGACAAAATTTAGTGAAATCTGAGATGTACCGAAAATTTCCCCCTAATATGGACAAAC